CTACTCATAAGAATTGTTTTTATTTAGATACACCAAGAATGATGCCATCATATTTTAACGAATATACCACGGAAACTATTCAAAATACGAGATTTTGAAAAAAGATTCTAACAGCGTGTATTTAAGCTTCAATCAAATTTATGTACAATTCTACATTACTTTGTAATTCATTTTAGTCATAAACTTGATTTCATCATCCTAAACATATGCATACTATATGATGAATGTGGCAAATTCTGCATTAGAGGCTTAAGCAATTGTAGAGTGCAAAAATTCAGGGTGTGGATATGTGCTTTGTGGATGGATTCGGAGTTCAGAGTATCGAGTATGGACTGCATGTTGTGGGTGTACGTGTTGATGGATGTGTGTTTGAGTATGAATAAAAGAAAGATCAACACCCACATCTACACCCCAATCAAAAATTGAGTATGAATCAACTTCACTTATATTTCATCCAACACACGTCGACGAAGAAATATTGAATCAGTATCGTGTACCAAACAACTGCTCTTTGAAAAAGAAAATGCAAACATTATGGGGTGTGGGTATGTGTGGGTGTGGGGTGTAGGTGTGGGGTGTGGGTGTGGGTGTGGGTGTGGGTGTGGGTGTGAGTGTGGGTGTGGGTGTGGGTGTGGGTGTGGGTCTGGGTGTGGGTGTGGGGTGTGGATGTGGGTGTGGTGTATTGACAGATCTTCACCCACACCCACACTCACACAAGGGGGAAAAAGCTGAATTTTTGATTCCCAGGATTGATTTGATTGACCAACGATTGACCAACGATTGACAATGATTGACAATGATTGACAATAGAGTGGACCCTTTAATTTAACTTAAAATTAAGTTTTTTTACTTAGCACTGAGCACTAAGTTTACGTTTCTTCTATTTAACACCACTATGTCTAAAAATTTTCATAATTTACATAAAATTAGGTTGCAGCCATTACTTTAGAAAAATGTTATATAGTTTCGAGTTTTCTTTACTCCGATACGGACGTACCGTGGTCTTGTTCGGGCCATTTGAAAGAGGACTTCTACAAACCCCCAGATTGGCCCGAACAAGACTATGCCTTATCCTTGTAATAGAGGAGAAAAACCCTACTAAAATCGGATTGGTCGACAGAAGAAAGCTGTCGACCAATCAGATTTTAATAGGGTTTTTCTCCTCTATTACAAGGATAAGGCATAGTCTTGTTCGGGCCAATTTGGGGGTTTGTAGAAGTCCTCTTTCATATGGCCCGAACAACAACATGCTTTATCCCTACAATAGCGGAGAAACGGGTTAAAAGTGACACACTTCTGATTGACCATGATTGACAATGATTGATTTCATTGCAATCATCTTTTTTTCCCTTGCATCCATACCCACACCCACACCCACACCCACACCCACACCCACACCCACACCCACACCCACACCCACACCCAACAAAACAAAAGTTAATCAATCTATTCAAAGAAACAAATCATATTCGTTCACTTGAAATATTTTGTGAGCCTCAATTTACTACAGATTCTTTATTATTGGAGAACCTTTGTTCATTGATACCGCATCATGTCAAGCATTTGGATATCGAAGCAAAAACATCAACTGATATATATTTGATACTTGAACGATTGCAACACTTGTCGAGTGTCACATTTCGAATACTAACTTTGTCATTGTATTCACTAGCTGAATGGTGCACACTGCTGCGACGAGATGTAACATATCAATATCATCAAGGTTCTTTACATATGTGGCTTAATAAATGACTTATCAAATGAAACTGAGATTATAATTTCAATTAGTTGAAGAAATAAAATCTGTTTGAAAATCTACATTATATGTAGTCATGTTTATTCTACACCGAACATACTCTGTAATAATCAATGCTGACAGAGAAATAATACATAATAATGAAATCATTTTCGATATTTGTTAAAAGAAATAATTCATTTTCATTCAATCTTATTTACAAAAATGACTTGCTCAATGAATAGGTTTTCATATTTTGCAATATTAAAATCATTTTCTATTGTTATATCTGACATAACATGATTTGATTTTGAAAAACAAAATATCAAAGAAACTAATGAATGTCAAAGCATAAATGCATAAAAAACAAAAAGCCTGCTAGCAAAGTCTCTTTAGAGCTGAAACATAAAATTCATAGAACTTTGTTCAGTTCATTAAACTAATAGAAAATACGTACATGCGGAAAAACTTCCGAATTATATAAATTGAAAAATAAGTCAATTTAATCTATATTCGACATTCTCTTTGAAACACACGACCTCCAATGTTGATGTACAAACTGCTCAAAGGAAATGAAAAACTTTACGATATTCATTCTTAGAAGTAAATTACAAGAAAAAACAATGGAAATATTTGTCGTATCACACTAATTCATTCGTTTATTTTTCACGTATTATTTACCAATGTTTGTCCTACGAGAACTGATTTCAACTAATTCTATTAGCGAAATCGTAGTTTAGTGAATTTATCTGTCGCACGATTATTTTTTATATCTTTCACTTTGTTCTTTTCTTTTAACCTTTTTATTGCTCGAAAACTATTTCTTACTAGTCAAGTGAACATCGCTTAACTTGTTTTTCTCACAAAGTCAAAAAGGCCTTTCTTAAGAACAAAATGGTAAAGATGATGAAAGTTCTTGACAAGAAATACATGTCAAAATCATGTTAAAGGTACGGTTAATGTTGCGAAATTTCTCAATGGTACTAAGAATTTTGAGTTTTGTATTTTCTACGAAATGAAGCGATACATACGTAAACACTTGATACGAAGATTTTGCAGTTCTTCATGAACTTTCTGGATATTAACTAGATTTTTTTTTCAATCGCCATAACAATATCAAATGAAAATTAAAAAAAGCATCGTCGTTATGTAATTTCATTAATTTTTTAATGTTTAATATGAAGAGTTTTGGGCTTGAAAAATTGCAACTTAGCATTGTCAAGGTCACTCTTTTTCTAACTCAAATTGACGGCTATCGTATTTTATAATTCTTTTTCGATGAATCGATCACATAATAATAAGTTTTTGAACAATATCTGAAGCGTCCTATCTTTAATTATTTGTATAAAAAATACATGTTTTTCATCGATTATTACTTAGCAGTTTTCGAAAAATTACTATTCAAATTCCATAACATAATCAAGAATTCTTAGAAAGCAAACCACATTATTGACGTCTCGAGCTTATTTAAGCGAAATGCTTCCATTATCTATTCTTTTTTCTGTTTATTATTCTTAAACATAGCAGTTACTTAGTCGGAATAATGAGAGGACAATATGAAGACCATGAGGAATCTAGCAGCAAATTATCAGCCGCTGTCAGCAATAATGAAACAAGGAACTAAATACAAAAATAGAAACTACTATCATAGAAAGCGCTCTGTATTTTGCTTTGGAACAGTTTTAATGAATGATTACTTGAAGCGCGCAGCTAGAACGATATTTTTTCTGTTTTTTGCATTCTGTTGTATTTTTTCTTCTCGTCGAGAAAATACGTTATGTAGACAACGCGACATCTTATCATTTTTTTCTCTCTGCTTGTCGATAGTGTTATATGAAAACAAGAATACACCATAGTCTTCTGTGTCTGCTTCATCTTCAAATATCAGATGAAGACTAAGCTACTTCATAAGTTTTTTGAGTACGCTCTTCTACTTTGATATAGTCGATAGAAAAATCGCAAGTATTCTCTTTCTCTTCTTGTCGTATGAAGAAAACTGAGACGAAGGCAACGGAATATTTTTCTTTCTTCATCATTGCCGTCATGGTCAACGAAAAAGAACACTTTAGATACTTTTCTTTTTCTAGTAACAGTAGTGCACGTGCAGTCTCATTTCTTGTTCACTAGTTACTGACAAATTTGTTCTATTCTGTGTGTGTGTGTGTTTTTACTATGCAAGTAAAATATTGATGGCAAGAACAGCTTATGTGAGTAATCAGTTATGATGAATCGAGATTTCATTTAAATTTATCGTTCTGTTAGAGTGATTATACATTTTAAAAGAAATCGTAATAACGATAGAATGTTTTGAATATTGATGTATCGCCTCGATTATTTTCTCTGTATTACGTGACATTTTATTCATAAGATACTTTTTTTTGTGTCCTTATTACGAAAATCTTCACAGATGACAGATTTTTAAATGGAACCTTAGCAGGTAAAAATGATTTCACTTTTTTCGAATCAATTACACTTTCAATGCCACATAAGAGTCTATGAAGATTTCTTTTCTCTTTGCAAAAATATTTCACTGAGGTCAACTTGACATTGAACATAAAAATTACGTCCTGATACTTTCATACTTTGCTAGAAATATTTGTCTATATCACTGTACTATTTTTCATCTTTCAGGCCATGGAAACCAACCGAAAGGACATCATTCGAAATAGAATATCAAAAGAATCTCTATTCAAAACACATGTAAGATGAAGGAAAACTGTATACTTTTCTTTCTGAAAGCTCTAGTTTAAATTTAGCAAAGAAGAGAAGATAATTATTTATGTCTGAATTAAACATCATTGTGAATGACATTTGACATTGAATAAAGCACAGATTCTTTTTTTGCATTTTAGAAGTTTTTTTTCTGTTTAGGTCGTGAATCGTAAACATTTAAAGAATATGATTATTTGAATAAATATATATCATCTTTAACGATTTCTATTTTTTGCTTTGATCATTATGTTGCAATGACATTACATTTGTAAGAGAAAAAAATTCCATCTTTATCTCTGATTCACAAACAAGAATTTCACTCATCTATATTATTCTAGTTGTCTTCAATATCTCGCCTTATTTATATACGACTACTGAGGAAAAATAGATTCTTCAATGAACTTTTCTGATAATAATTGTTTTCGAAATTCCTCAAATGTTGTTCAAAAACTCTTCATTAATAATCTTATGGATTGTTTTTTTTTATGATGAACACGTATTAACGTAAACAATCTTTTCTTTACGCACATTTGTTTCAGATTTGAGTTAAAATATGATGATAGACAAAGCTATGCTAGATGATACTGGTGCCGCTCATTTTCCTCTTGAACATACCCATGGAACTATGCTTCTCATGGATGAACCTCCACCTGCATATGAAGATCCGAAGATCGACTTTAGCAGTGGATGGAAAGATCGTATCTTTGCTATCATCTTTTACATTCATGTAATTGGTGTAATCATTGTTGGATTAGTATTAGGCTTACCGGCCTTCATTGCATCGATCAAAGAAAATTCATGGAATCAACTCAAGGTAAATGTATCGAATCAGATCAAGTCTAACCTATCCAATCCGGAAACAGAAAAATCATTCGATTTCAACATCAACATATTCCTGTTTGCATTGGGTACTGCTATAGCTCTCGGCCTATTTGCATCGTTCTTTACTTTCTTTATTCTACAAAAATGTGCTGGTCGAATTATCAAAGCTTCATTTGTTATAACGATCATCATTGAAGTTTTATTGATTGTCGCTCTAGCTTTCGTATTCTGGCCTCTATGCTTTATACCTGGAATTTTTCTATTTTTCACACTGATTTACATCACTTGTATTCGAAAGCGAATTCCATTTGCTGAAGCTCATTTAGGAGCAGGTTGTGCTGTATTACGTAGTCATCCTTCATTGCTGTTGATTGCCTTCATCATGCTCATCGTTGAATTGTTATGGTTCTTCGTCTGGTGTCTTATGGTATTAGGTATTCAACGTGCTTCAAATAATACGATTTTTATTTTTAATATTAATTCAACAATGAAAATAAATAATGAAACAAAATTTAATATGATCTATACAAAATCTACACCGAGCCATAGATTTTCTTCCATGACCACTAGAATGCCGAAATTCAGCGATACAATAAGATATTCAATGGATAGAAACTCAAAATCGATCAATAGCACAATGAAGAGAACAAATGATGAAATTCAATGGTCCAATGCTACAAATGACTCGACATCTTCTAAACAGGGGGAGCACGTCGTATTGTTTCTTATATAATTTTATTTCTTTTATTATTGTCATGGTATTGGGGTGCAGCAACCTTTGGAAATATAAGTCACTTTGTTACGGCATGTGCTGTTGGTCATTGGTGGTTCACTGGTGAAGGTAGTCGACAGTATACCATTGGGACGAGTGTGAGGCGAGCATTTACCACTAATTTTGGAACAATCTGTCTCGGTTCTCTTCTTGAGGCTATTATCAAAGCTCTGCGCGCTTGTATAAGCAAAGATGGTCGCAAGAATATTATTGCTGCTATTGCTGATTGTATTCTTCAAATACTTGAAAAACTTATCGGTTATCTCAATGAATGGGCATTTATTTATGCAGCACTTACCGGTCAAACATTTGTTGAAGCTGGTCGAAGCTTCATTGAGTTGTTTAAAAAGCGTGGCTGGACAGCCATAATCAACGATGTGCTCGTTGGAAGCACCATGATGATTGTCAATATTGCCATAGGCCTCACTTCTGCTATAGTCGGTGGTCTCCTGATCTACTTTTTTATGTCAGATTCACCAGAGAAAATTATAGCGATTATTATGGCATCAATCGTCAGCTTTATTATCAGTTTATTTATGAGTGCACTTATGGCATCAGTTTTAAGTTCTTGTGTTCGCACAGTATTCGTCTGCTTTGCTCTCAATCCGGCGGCACTCGGCGCAACTCATCCTGATCATTTACAAGCTTTAACCAATGCTTGGCATAAATTTTATCCGCAAGAATTTGCCGTTAGTGGCTATACTCAACATTTACCGAAGCCAACTATGACAAAAGACTTGTGAAAACTAATTTTTTTAATCTTTACTTCTTAGAATTAGAACGCTTCTAGTGCATAGAAACTTCAATTTATAAAATCAACTCAAGTAATAAAATAAATAATCATATAATGGGAGAGAGTTTTCGTTGGGTATGCATGTGGGTTTGAATAAGAGCGTTGGATTTCTGTCTGTAAAAACTTACATCCATACCCTTTGTTCTTTGGCTTTTGTTAGCAAGAGAGATAAAACGTTCTTTCAAAAGAATTGATGACATATATAGAACGTATGAGACAAAGCATCCAATGCAATGAAATACAAGTGAGTTTCTTATGAAAACACAAAAGAATGTCGAAAAAATGAATCAAACTATGAATGATCTTATTGTTTTCTCTTAAATTTCTTTTTAATGACAAGCATCTTTTCAATTCAAATTATGTATAGTTTGTTATTATATACCAGCGAAAGCAGGTCATATTCATATTTGACGTCGGAAACAAACTCTAGAAAAAAAAACAATGTGTTCGGAATGTATAAAGAGAAAAAGCAAATTCAGTCCAAATAGCTACTTACTGTTGTACAATGCTGAAGTATCAGTCAAACAAGAAAAATTTTCCTCCAAACTAGTTAATAAAGAAGGCAACGTATGGCTAAAAACTATTTCGTCATCGTTACCGATGAAAATCTTTAAATGACGAAAAAAGATTGCCAACATACTCTCGAACAACTGCATGCTGTTCTCAAGCAAGTGAATTTGTGCACCACGGTAGGAGAATGTAACCGATGATTCAATTAAAATAAGGAGGAAATATCATTTGCCATCTCATGTGGTACACTTGGACAAGACCTTGTACTACATATTCATGGTGTACCAAAATTAGATTGCATATAGATTTTTAGTTGTAACAAGCAACTTCATAAGCTGTGAACTAAAGAATGGGCAAACATAAAGGTGTCCACAAATCCATCAAGCCCATATCCCAAACTTTGCAAATGGCTGTTAAGTGTTGCAATCAAAATAATGCAACGATCAGTATTGTTGATTCTATTGAAGGAGAGCTTCAACGAAAATCACAATCAGCCAGGACCATCATTATGTATACTCAAATATTCAAGAGGATCCTTCTTGACATGGAACATGATCCATAAGACATGAAAAACTTAGTGATGCTTGGCCGAAAAGAATATCGCGATAATATCCAAGAGATAAACATGATTGAAAAATTCATACGTATTTATCAGCCATCAAAGTCCATTGGGTGATATATGTGAGTGCTTCATGTACAACAAAATGCTCAATCGAGCATTATGAACGCTTGTTGATGACATCATCATCAGAATATTTCTTTTTTATCTTTGTAACGTTCATCAACAAATCGAACAATTATACAAGAAATAAATCAATAAACATCTAGGTTAGACATTCAAAGTGTTTTGGAGGCACGAATTATTCCCATTAGACTTCAAAAGGCTCACTCAAAATACGGGTGGACTTATGCTCTACAATAACTTTTTATTCACCAATAGAAAGCAAACTGTCTTCCTTCAGTTTTCTAAAGACGCATCAAGAATAACAGACGTGGCTGGTGTACATTTTCCAATAACCATTGATCCTATGGTCTCATCGACTACATTCACCTTCATCCGAGAGCTAATTGATTTCTTGCAAGAAGAGAAGATTCTCTTCTTCATGTACACGAACAGATGTCCAACGACAACAGCCGAGCATATAGTTATAGTCAGCTTACATTGGTGGAAAAAGATCGAGGAGAATACTCACAAGCAGCGTCATTTCTCGAAAATATCTCCAAAATCAAGCGAATCGCTTTCCCAGAAGGTCATCTCGAATTGACCACTTTGTACAACAACATCGTTCTACAATATAACAGCATGGGTGGTCATTATTTCCTTCAGCAGTATCAGTGCCATATTCTATGGTTTGGCTTATTATTTAGAAACTCTTAAATCTCTTCAAAGTGCTTTTCAACTTCAACAGCAAGCATTTGACGAAAGCAAGCCATCATTTCTTTCCACATAGGGTAGGTTAGGAAGGGTTTATGGCAGTACGAGAGTTCACTCAAATGCACTCACGTATTTTGAAGAATATCCTGTAACACGTTAGAAAATGTTACCTGAAAAGTATCCATACTAGATGATCATGTTCTACAATTTTGGTGATTTTCATCGATTAATGAGCGTTTGTGAAATCGTACTTTCTCATTACTTCGAAAAGCAATAAATATTCAAGAAAATATTCAATGTCTGTGTGAGCATGAATCTTCTCTTTAGTTACATCGACACACCCTTCTGATAGACTGCATACTATTTTCATTTTGTTTTATCCAATGACTTTAATTGACTGCTCACAAATGAGTATGTTCAACTATCTTGGATGTCGATGTAGACCTGGCTGCGTTGGTGGGTGTTAGTATAAACCTGGCACACTGACACCCATACCCAAACCCCATTCATAGGTTTTTGCTAGTTCATTAGGTATTGTTTGATGCAGCTCAATGAGCTGATTCTGAATATCAAATTGGTTTTGCACTGAAAATGATGGCTTCTTTACTAAAATAGAGATTTGGAGACCAAAACCTTGGTGCTTTGGAGAACAATGGCAGCGGCTGAAATGATGGATGCACAATGGCGCTATGGTCAACGATGCACTAGATGTGGGAGAATAATAAGCGAAAATTTTTAGAGTGATGCCACTGAAACTCTCCGTAACCTTTAAAAATACAGAAAGAATGATTTTTAAAACCTTGTCGCTGTCTAGGTACTGACTTTTTTCCGAAGCAAACTCTGCTATATATGATTCGATGCAGTTTAATGATCTGAATTCAAATATTACCTTAGTTTTACATCGAAATGTTCTCAAATTATCAAAACTAGGGATTCTAGGGCAGAAGCCTACTTTTTCAGGATACCTTTCGGTCGACTTGTGTTCACCAATGCAATACGGCGCTATGACTGACGAAATATCATAGATAGGAAAATAACTGGTAAAAATTTCAGCTCAATGGGATTAAAACTCTTTATAGCGTCCACAAAATACGAAATGAGTGATTTTTCGACATATTTGCAACCCAGTAATCACTGTTTTTCTTTTCCATTTATGGTTCATACAAAATAATGTTTTCTGACAATATAGCTTATGGCTCAATCATTTGTTTCAGATAGTTGTCCATTAAAAAATATTTTGGTCAGTTGATAAAGGAATAGTCTTAATGTACTTGACAGATTTATGAACAAGTTTTTGACGATTGAACTTCTTGTATTTCGAGTTGGTTTCTGGAAATCTAGTTTCAGGATGAGATGAACTAACCATCGGTGTATTCATTCTAATATTTGAACTTTAGAAAATAGCACTTGAGATTAAGTTCGCCTGGTTACCCACTATGTTCAGGTCCCACCGGCACCGTTACAGAAAGATCAAAAATCCACACTCAACTACATCCACACACCCTACCCACCAAACACACCCACACACTCAGGCATCTATACTCCACACTTACCTTCAGCAGAATTAATGGGAATTGACTATGGTCGTGAATAATAGCAAACAACGATAATATGATACATATTTACAACGACTTAAAAATTACAAACAATTTACATAAGCAATCAAAAGTTAGGCAGACACTTATTTGTGCTGAGCAAGCAATAGCAAGTGAAAGTGAGCAGTAAATAAGCTTCTAAAAAGAAATTTCAATCACATTAATGTGTTGTTCATGATATTGTTGAATAATAATTAGAAATGTGCGAAATTACTGTGACTTGATATGGCATAATATTAAAAGAGGAAGACGCAGTAAAAGTAGTCAGTATTTGACACGACCATAACAACCAGCGTCGTTGAAAATCGTTGATATTGCCTGACATCATTAAGATCGAAAGCAGTTAATCAGCTGTATCATACCTAATACTGCTTGGATTGTTAGATATGGCCTGATTTTCATTGAGGAAGACGGGGCAAAGTCAGCTAGAAATAGAATAACTAGTTTACACACATTTTTCACACTGGCATTTACCTTTTTCTGTTATCTCTGAAGTTTCGAATTCTATCAATAGGCGTTTAATCCATTAGTAAATCAATATTGGCTACCGGCAGCTCAGGGACGCCTTCCACAATTGTAAACAACAGTGGAACCCTGGGGACATGTCATTAGATGAATCCCCGGCAAGCGGATGTTGATAATATGTAAATATATTGATTAAAAGGATAATGAACTGATTTTTTTCGTTGCCGTCTGTCTTGAGACGAAGAAGACGGGATAAAGCCAAGTGAAAATCGATGACTTTACCCCGTCTTCCTCCCCACAATTTCAACAATTACTAAATAGCCTAATTTATTAAAAGAAAAGTATTTGTATGATGAATAAGAATATTGATTTTATTTAGAATGGAGACGACTAGAGTCAGGTATAAACTGTCAAAAATCGGTACATTTATTTTACTAGTCGTTCCCTTGATTTCTCGATTATTAGCGTTACTGGATTATTGATAAGTTGAGTATATCAATGTATACATAGCAGTCTGTAATTTTTAGATATGGCTTGATTTTTTCGATGATGAAGGTGGCTTCTATGAAAGCTTGGTTTTCTTCGCTTCTATCTGAATGAGAAAGAAAAATCAAACAATAATTATGACAAAAATTGGCTGTTATTAGCGATAGTAATGGCAGGAATGTAGACATATATTCGCTTTCCCCGCACTCACACCTTCGACAATATCAAAGAAACATTATTACTGAAAATCTTACAGAAGAGACTTCTGCTTGTTCGTCATGTATTGTACATTTTCGTTGGCGTGCTTGATTGTGATGAACACATGGAGAAGAGCTTAAACATTCATTGATCGATAGAGATTGAGGCTTCTTCCCTTTCAAATTGAAAATAATGATAAGCAATGTCAAGCTGTTTCGTATCTTCTCTGTGCAGGATATAATTTATCTGTATATTTCAATAGTGTTACTGTTTCACAGTAATAGTTGACCGGATGCACAATGCTGTTTACATCAACTAGCATTATTTGAAAATGCAATATCGACTCACGAAGATGATACTGCTCTATTATTGCTTTCGCATTTGTTGTACATGTCTGGTGAATATCTATCATTATGATTATATCAAAAGTTTTGAAGAATGAACATTTTTTCTTTGTTACCAGTGAATTTGACCTTGGACGAATTGAACATAGGAAATTTGTCAACTGTTTCAAGCTTCTCTTGTTTGAGTGTAATCATGATTAACTTTTCAATTCTACAAACAAAGAATTGAGCGTCGTCCTCATCTTGAACAACTACTTACTTGAGGCATCCATTGCACATGTCGTTTTTGGGTATGGGTGTATAAAGTGACCCTTCATACACTTTTGCTACGCTGCTTTTTATCCATAATGGATAGGGATGATGGAGAATACCATAATTACCGTGGATAGTTCTGTGTACAATGCGCATCCACGAAACATATCCGTTTTCTTGGCAGAAAGCCTGAATATCTGGCATCTGAATATTTTCCAATGAAGAAAAAATAATAATGAAAAAGCTTGATCCTTTTGGCGAATACTCACATCTATTGTAATTCCCTTACCATCAGCTGCTTTGAAGTAGCGTAGTGCTTGTTTATTATCTTTTTCGTATCGTACGTGCTGGTAGGGACACGGCTGTACGCGTAGAGTCATGATTTTTTTCTTATCGATATCAATAACCTTTCCTTGATCTCTGCTCAAGAAACTAGGAGGATCCACCACATCCTGTTGTCGAAAGGAAAGTTTATCAACAGTTGAAAATGTATTCTTCGTAGTGTTACCGTTGATTTGATCAATACTTCTTTAGTTTTGCTCGAAAAATAAGTATTTTGGTCCTGTTTGTCATTTTCAACGACTGTTGTTGGATCAGATCCGTCGTTGGAATATACTGATAATTCTTCTCTTGTTACACTGATATCTGGTTGGTATATAGCAATGAATGCATCAAGACTTAAGGGTCTATTGATATCGAGGCCTGTAAGAAATCATTGTTTCTCTTCCAAGAAATCAATAGTCATAATGAAAACAAACCTTTGGTCAAGTCTCGTGTGGGTTCGTTGGAAAAATTAGCATCGATAGGTTTAGCTTCAAAACAGTGAACCAACAGTGGAAAATCTAGGAAAGTAATCAGAATTTCACATACAAAATAAATTGTCCAGTTCGTTGTCATCTATAACAATGTCGATCAAAAACAAATACAAGTCAACAAACAGATTAGTTTTTATTCAAACCTGCATCAATGTCAACGGTGAATGGTGACGGTTCATTAGCCATCATAAGTAAATTGTTGCTATCTAAAAGAAATAATAAATAGTGTGTTTTTCATTTTAGCGAACTCCCCTGTACCATTACTTGATATCAGATCAATGTCCATTGAAATCACTAGTAATAAAATATAATAATTAGTTGTTTCAGTGACAGAGTGTTCCTTGACTAACTCCAATTATCGATATCGAAAGGCGATGGTGGATAACCGTCTTCCATTTCGTTCATTTATTAAAAGTCAAATTGAGTCCATTAAACAATTAAGCGAGAAGACGAGTAGCAGGATCTCTCGGGTGAGCAAGCCCGCACATGACAATTTCATGAGTGAGCCAACTGTTTTTATCGAAGACTCAATAACTAAAGCTAAATTAATTCTGTTTTAGGCAAAATACATATGGTCATGCTCCAATCCAAGAGCATTTTTCTCTGAGCCCGAAAGAGAGTTCAGTCTTCCGCAGATATTTCCTTCATTACAGCTACGCATGTGAGCACTCCGGGGATGAAATAATGTGATGTTAAGATGAAAAAGAGTGATAGTAGTCTAAGCAAGAGTCTCATCAACGAGAAACGTCTCTAGAAAACTAAATATTGATCTCCATTGTTAATTTCACAAAACAGAAGAGATGAGATAGAAAAGCGAATGAATAGCACTCATGTCTAAATGCTCGGCTGGTTTTGTTGAAGAAATGCATCGGACGACAAAATATGAAAATATCAAAGTTATCCTCATATATTACCGAGGATCAAACTCAATATAACGTGATAATTATGAAAATTCTTGCCCACCCTAGTCTGAACGAACTCACCGTACTAGCAATCAGAACGTTGATGACGAGTGAATGAAAATAAATTGTTGTTGTCAGCGCTTTTAAAACTAACAGTATGCGAAAACGAGCACGCGAACTTCATCAGATGCACAACTGATTTATATACCAGCAGTATTACGACATTTTCCCCATTATTACTCATGCGATACTTTATTTTTCCAAGTAAGCATGCCATGCCTTCTCAGTGCGCCTTTTTTCAAGTAGATGACTAATTCGTTGTCGTAGTGTTACCAAAGAAGCACCAGACAGAAGACTTTACGCCGAGAACAGTAAAAATAATACCATTGAATATCAAAGGTGTGTTTATGCATATTGCAAAGAAATTCGCCTATGAGGGATTGTAATTTCCTTTTAAAATGAGTTATTGTATGAGTTCTTTGTTGAAAACGATATCGTTCGCACATCGACTACCGAAGCTAATGGATTCTTCGATGCATTGTTGCAAGAGAATAAACATGACAGTTTTTTAAACCGATCCTACGAAATAGAACACGTACATAGCACATCTAGTGAGTTAGATCATTTCCGTGAGTGTGGGAGGGTGTGGACAAAGCCACACCAAAATCCACCGAAACAAACACCCATACACCTTCCATAGTCACTCAGAACCTCACACATTCAATGTTTAAAATCTAATAAAACACAGACTAATGGAATAAGTTTTGTCATGCTACAGGAAGCTTTCATGGAGCAACAAGAGAGAGGAATGTTATTTTTTGTATGGATGAAGTCAAGCGGCGCCTTGCTTTTTTTTCCGTCGCATTTTTGACAGAATCAATACTACCCTGATGCAAATGTTGAATATTGTTTTTTCTTTCGTTCGACAGAACTGAAGAAAGTAACAAAAGCAAACGTAAATGCAGTGTTGTATATAGTAGAGGTGGATGTATATGCTTTGTTCACGTTTACCTACATGACATAGTCGTCGCCCTCACGTTCGAGCTTTCACAGAGTCTTGTTTCTAAATAATATATCGCTTCTCTTCCTCCGCTTGCACTTTCATTTGTTAGACTACGATCGGAACAACGATTCTTTTTTTCCTTTTTTAATTCAACTGTCAGAAGAATTAGACAATTGATCGCCGTGAAGATAGTAGTCTAGTTATTTCGTTCATCACGAAGCTCGATACTCGCATACAAGCAGTACCATATAATTTAGATTCTATTCATATTATGCGCGAAGATAAACGAAAGAATCGAACCTTGGCGTGACGAGTGAAGTTTTTCTTCTCTTCATTAAGGAATTTCATTATAAGTTAGTTCTCAATTGAGAATTAAGTTTTCTTTAAATTTCTGAATCAAACTTAATTTTAACGCCAATATATTTTGGTATGACACGCAACCCTTGTCCATGTCCACCAGTATTCACGTCGGAACCACCATGGATGAATGTAAAATGTGGGATTAGTGTAGCTAGAATAACTTTGAGTTCGAATCGTGCTACATCTTGTCCAATACATTGACAATGGCCACTACCAAATGAAAGAAATACATAAGTATTATGATTCTTGTCTTCACCTAAAAATCTACCTGGATAGAATAGTTCTGTATTCATCCACCAATATCGTGGATCTCTTGAAAGAATGGATGTTGGAATAAGCATTTGATTACCATTGTACAAATTGAATATCACTATTGGGTAAACGATCACTCATAGTTAATGTTCGAGTTGCTGTATCGATAGGTGGAGAAAAAGGTAAGATTTCTTTGATAACACAGTCCAAATAGAGAAGTGAATCAAGACGATCATTTATCAAATCATGATAAATATTTTCCTTCATCAGTTCTGCCTTAATCTTCTGTTTGTATGGCCGGATCTTTGCTGAGAAGGTAAATAGATCATGCCAACGCGATGGATGTTGTTTCAAATCCAGTGATAAGAAGCATAAGCATTTCTCCTAATATTTTCAAGTCATGTGGGATCTGTCAATGGAAACACAAATATTGAAACTTGTTAACTCTAATTTACACAATCCAAATTACAAGAAGTCATTATGATACTTTTTGATGTATTGAATTTGATAAAAGTTCTGTGTTTTTTTTATCAATTTAATCACCTGATGTACGTTTGAAACAGTATACCAAATTCTGATTATCCTTTTTCTCTCTTCTGCTTGTTCATCTGTTTGTAATGAAGCGACTAATGAAACCACCAACGATGTCTTCTTTCGTCGGGCTCTCGATTCTGGAGTTTCACCCGATCCTTATCCCGTCATTTAACATAAATATCATTTGATTGTCGTTTGAGCTCATCGATATTTCGGACTTAATTTCAAATAGAAACTGAAGAGAAAAGTTGATATATAGGAACCTAATTCCAGTTTGCCGATATAGTTTCTTAATGCATGTGTAAGTTCATTATTGTTTGTTCCACGAAGTGTATCAAAATCATAGTCAAAACCAATGAATCCGAAATTTTCCAGTAGAAGATTTTGACATTGTTGTAAAATATCACAATCAATGGAATCCGAAGAACTTGAACGCCAATAATTCAAAAGTTCGTCTGTACAACTAATAATCATATCGAAGTTTGGAAGAATTTTTCCATGATGAAATAAGGACATTACTATTGAAGCAAGTGGCTTGAATGCAGCACCTTTAATTCATAACAAGCACTATTTTCTTCGAATTAATCAAAATAAACAGATTTGACCTTTCAGAGTAATGAGACTATCTGGCATGAAAACATTCAAGAGTTCCACTACACAATCATTTTGATCATAAAGATGTCGATGAGTAAAAATTTACTTCACATCATCTATATCAACGGCGACTATTTCATGTAGGAATTAGAGTTCAATCTCATAAATATCACCAAGTTGATTTTTGAACGATGTATAAGATTGTGGAAAAGAATCTCTACATAACAGTCCCGATTGAAATAAATTTCCAAAGAAAAATATTTCCTCGTCAAATTGGAATTAAACGATGAAAAGTAAAATATCATATTTGTGTTTTACATAATATACGAGTAGGCTGACAAGAACAAATGTTAATCTGATAAACATCGGCACAATTGTAAGAAACAACACTGATGCGTACAGGTGTTCGCTTACATTTTTTTCATTCTACTAGCATACAAGCAGAACAGCAAAATCTATATGGTTGATGTACATAGAGGTGATTTAATTATTGCACATTGTTTGAAAGTCGAAGTAGAATTAATATTTCCTCATGTTGTCCTTCGATTACTCATCAATTCTCTGATTTAGAACTATACCATATTTGTCGTTCGATAATTTTCATATGTTGTATTTTAAAAATCATGAATGCTGCACGACCAAAAAATGATTAGAAATCTATAAAAATTAGGAAAATGCGAATTCGATTTTTGTGTTCCAAAAAACTCGGGATGTTTTCTTCGCTTGGAACGATGACAGATAGATTTTCAACGAGTTATCTTTGAAACAAATATTTTTGTCAGTAGAATCGTTTCAAAACACTCTGTAGCTGATTCAGAGTTAGACGATACTCTGAAATCAGATGCAAGGCCAAGTTACAATAGAATACAACGATGAACATCCTATACTTATCAGATTGGCAGAACAAGAAAATCCTTATCTACGACACGAATCTAGATGTGAGTATTCTTTTGTCTACACACACCAATATCCATGCACTGCTGACTCCTTCCTCCCCCAAGAGTCCAATTTGAAGAGTCTTTTTAGGAAGCTCTCATTTGCTCACAAATACTTTGTTTTTGCCAAAGAGCTTATATCTATATCATATGTTTAGATTACTTGTACATCGACGTAAGCAAGTGCTACGGGGTTTAATATGCTTCATGAATGATAAAAGCAAAGTATGAACTTTTATTATAGATAGAGACGATCTAGTTCTACTACAAGGAAACATTTCATTGATTTTTCTTTAATCAGAGCTGATTTATTTGAAAAAGATTCACTGTTACAGAATTTCAAAGAATGGGAACTTTTTAAGAAGAGTTCCGAATTTAGCATATTACTAAAAAACGAAGCAGTATACAGATCAATCTTTTCTATAAAAGTTGTTCCATTTTTTCAGCAAGCTTTCAGAATATCAGATCATTTCTCAACAAGCATAACTGCATTGAATGAAAAAAACTAAGAACACTGTCCGTTACGAACTTCCATCTTTGTTTGGCATTTTAACGGAGAAGGTTTAAGAAAATAAAATTTCATCCTATTGTGATAAAATATCAATGTTTTTTTAGTTCACAAGAAGTATAGAGATAGTTTTTATAATTCAAGGAAGTCTCTTATATTGTTGCAAACAAACCATATTAGAACTTCAATCCATGTTTCAAGAGAAAATGCGATGTAACAAAGTGCAATACTACAATTTCTTTTTTGAGAAATCAATCAAAAATCCCCTTGCTTGATACCTAGTGGAAGAAAAATGGAGTTTATGTTGCTCGTTAGCTAAATATCTTAGAAGTTGCTATTTGTCCAATAATCGGTCGTTCTTATAACTTTTGGTTGCACAGATAGGTTTCGTTATTCTTTTAGGTTCAAATCGACTTCATGATAGAGTGATCGATTGCTGCTTCTCCGAGCGTTATGTGTCATAAATTCTGACAGATTTCTCATATGAAAATGTTGGGTAAAAACTGATTTTTTTCGAAAATTTTGCAAAAAGTGCTCGAAAAACAACAAAAAAACATGTTAATTAGCGTCTGAATGTCTAAATGTGTCTGCCTCACCTCCCACTGCCCAGTAATATCTGTTTTTGGAGATCCCTAATTTCCCCCGTTGTCTGGGTACCCTTTTTGAATGAATACGAAGGATAATTTCATGAATATAGACCTTCTGTCGATGAATTGTAAAAAGCATTCGGTCATGTTTTTTTTTTAAATATTTTATTTTAACAGAAGGAGATTATTTTATGAACATATGATCTAGAACTCATCGGTAATAGTTATTTGTGATGTCGTACCGATCAAAGAGCATAAACTTTCTTCTTCATTATAGTGTGGCAGTAAGTTTGGTGTAGTGGAAGCTTTTTGAGTCCATCGTTCTGCTTCTTGCTTGATCATTGCCTGCTGAATATTTGTTGGCAGTCCAGGATTCAAACTCAATGCATAAGGTAAAAGCATTTTCGGCATATCACTGAAATCGACCATAATCTTGATGAATATAGTGTCGTCTCGAACATATGGATTATCATCTTGTTCAATCATTGGCAATGGAAAAAATTTGGGTATTCCACTTGCAATATTCATTTCTGATCGGGGTCGCTGGAAACTATTCGATTTAATATCGGGTCGAAAGGAGTCAATGATATATTTTTGAGCTGGAGTTTGATCATACAAACAAAATGTAACTTTGAAATTGAATGGGAACTTCAAAATGGCATCGTATTCACTTCGCATGAGCACGAAAAAGAGCGATATATGCGTACGACAAGCATTTCCATCTCCATACAAATATAAACGCCCCCTCATCTTATAACCAGTTGGTGATGAATAAAAAGGAGGTGAATAGATAGATGACTGTCGTTCTGATTTCGCATCCGCTAAAAGATAAATATTTTCATTTGGCAATATCGACATAGACTATAATTTTGACGTTTTTTACCGAAAATAACATAAAACATATTATAAAAATAGACCTAAGTCAATACAATAAACTTTATATTATTGAAATATGCAATAAAAAAAAAGTACTGCAGATTTTTTATTTAGCAATTTGTTCATAAAATTTGATAATAGTATTCTGTATATGAACGAAAGAACAAATCGATATCTCAATCTTACTCATCTATTTCGAAGTCTCGATTTAAACTGTCGATTGCATTTTGTATTTTCACTGACTTATAACTAACGAGGGAACCTCACCAACTGATACACTCCGTTTGAGCTCATATTTTGCTCATAGGTAGGGCTCATAGTGTAGATAAAAACCCTAGAAGGATTCGTCCCCATGCTGCTTTGTCGCAGAGAAACAAGCACAACAAGTTTCTCTGAAAATGGCATTATTGTATTTTTTAT